ATTGTAAAAATACAAATATTTGCCTGGGAACACAATGTAATGTAACGCTGGGCCCTTCAACTGTGATACAATCAGTGGATGTCCTCAATCCCGGGAACTCCTGGCATGAAAAAGCCACAGCACAAAACCAAGTGGTTTTCCTCCTACAGGAAATCTGGGAAAACTGAGTGGCCCTCGGTACCTCTCTTCACCTCCAAAGACGCCATGCATTTTGCTGAATGACACGGGACAGTCATTCTTTTCATTTCTCACTTGTACGACAGACACCACAGCCAGAGTCCACAGCTGCCCTGGCTCTGATTCTGGCCCTGAGCTGGAACGTCTCACTCGTGTCTGAGCCTCACGCTTCTGCCTGCCTCCTGTCCCTTGGGAAGTCAGTCTCTGGTTTTGTGTTACTCACCAGCAGTGTTGTATGCAGACAGGGAAGAGCACGGCCTCACCTGGCCTGCCTCTGGCCTCTGGCCACGAGACAAACCCGGGCACTGTCCTCTGCCAGCAGCCCGGATGCCCGCAGGAGCCCCTGAAAGCTGTCTGAAGCCTCAGCTAGTGTTTACCTGAACACGGCCCCAGCACCGCAGGGCCCACCTGACAGTCCTGAAAATGACGGGGACACCGAACACCCATCTGCTTGGGACAACAAGCCACCCGCATGGAAATGAGGTCACTCTTTCGTTTGGGAGGCAGGGATGCAAAACACAGAAAATTATGCCAGGACGGTGGATTACTGATGCTGGAAATTCATGAGCACCCAGAGGGGCTGTTAAGAAAAGTGCCCCTGGACAGGCGCAGCGGCTCACGCCTGTAAATCCAGCACTTCGGGAGGCCAAGGCGGGCAAATCACCTGAGGTCAGGAGTTCAAGACCAGCCTGGCCAACAATGGCAAAACCCCATCTCTGCTAAAAATATAAAAATCAGCTGGGTGTGGTGGCAGGCGCCTGTAGTTCCAGCTACTCGGGAGGCTGAGGCAGGAGAATCACTTGAACCGGGAGGTGGAGGTTGCAGTGAGCCAGGATCATGGCACTGTACTCCAGCCTGGGCACAGAGAGAGACTCTGTCTCAAAACAAAAACAAAAACAAAACAAAACAAGAAAAGAAAACAAAAGAAAAGGGTCCCAGGCTCTGCAGAAAGAAGTCCAAGCCCAGTGCCAGACTACAGGGGTTACGGACTAGTCTATCCTCTTCGGTGGCCTCAGACGCACGACTGAGCTCTAAGCCTCAGAGTTCACAGGGTTGTTTAGAAGTTACATGATACAATAAAACACGGAAATCATTTATACAAATATAAGTCATGAAAACATTGGCTATACCTACGAATTGCAGAGGGAATTTTTCCTCCCCAGTTACCAGAAAGGGATTCAGCTTTCTTGAAGGCATGGAGGGACAGCATAGGCTAAGCCAAGATTTAATTCTGTAGCCTCCTGTGGGCAAAGCAGGGAACCACGTGAATTCTGTGCCCTTAAGTACGAACCTGGAAAGGGAGGCATGCAGTGATCCATCACTTTCTGGAGTTCAGCATTCCCCACGTGGGGAGTGCAAGCAGGCCTGGGGGAGCTCTGCACAGCACAAGAAGCAGGGAACGGGGCGTGCTGGGCTGTCATTTCGGGTTTTTGACACTGCCCAAAGTCTCTCCCCAAGAAGGAAACGGAATTCTATCAATCACCAATCACCAGTAACTGCAGTTCCGTCAAACAGATGAGAAGTTAAAAATAATCTGACAGCATTTTCATCCCGTTACGACTTCTTCCATGACAAAGGCTTTCATCCTTTGATTTCATAAAAGCAAACTTGCTGAGAACAAGCTTCTGTGGTACTTAAAAAGTCTTAACTACTAGCATTTCTTTCTTTTAGGTAGAAATCATTTCCTCCCCAAGCCCAGGAAAACACAGATACACTGTCACAACTGTATTCTCCAAAATCAGCCATAAACTTACGTTTTACAAATTAGCATTTTTTCACACATCTTGAGCTGTTAAATTAAAATAATTATGAGTCCTCAAGTCCAGGTTCCAGAATTCCACTTTGGTTTATCTGGATCAAGGTTACTGTCAGGCCAGCTACCTGCCTAGATTCCAGACTCCAGCCTTTCTGAGGGCCTTTCCTTCCTGAGTTCTATTAGCAAAAGAGGTTATGCCAGACGTAATTTTCCCCTGAAATTACACAACCTCATCCACTTGAAACTGAGACTAAGCCGCTAATCCCACCTCTGTGAAGAGCGAAGATCTCAATGCATGGGTGGATTTGAGAGTACAGCCCCCTTCTGTCCTCAGAGGCTGAGACGAAAGGCGCCCAAGTGCTCTCCTGGCCCCGCCGCGCCCTCCACCTGCGCTCAGATGGCGCTGCTGAGAGCCTGTTGACCCCGGTCTGTGTGTTCCTGCGTGAGGGCTTCCTGGTAGGAAGGAGACTTACGGCTTCTAAAAGGCCCTGAAAACCGGCAATAAGCCCACAAAACCCATCCTGACAACCCAGCCACCGCAGGGCTTCCCGGATCAGAAACCGCAGAGGCCTCAAGGGGCTCCAGTTCCACAGGGAGCAGCGGAGCGGGGGGAAGGGCCCAGCCGAGGGGGAGAGAGGGTAGCGCAGAGCCTGGGAGCAGGGCCGGGAGGCGTGAAGCCACGGAGGCCACTGCCTGCAGGGATGTTCGAAACAGACAGTAGGGAAATGACAAAACTTGAATGATATAGCAAAGGGGTCAGGAATCGTCATGCTCTGTTATCTCCTTTAAAACCGCCACGGGCAATCACAGGAAGCAGTTTCCCGCCAGCCCCTGCCAGGGGGACCAGGACCCTCCTCCAATGCCTGGATCAAGCTCTGCTGCTGCTGCTGGCTTCCTCCCTGCGGCCCCACAGGGCACCTCATCTGCTGGTTTCCTCCCTGCGGCCCCACACGGCACCTCATCTGCAGGGAGGACCAGGCATGCGGGGCGGTCCGGCGAGCTCTGCCCCAGGAACGGAGAAGCCAGCTCCCAGGAGGTGGGCTGGGTGATGCCTTCACGGCCCCCATCCGGCTGAGATGAGCCCCGCTGTGCAGGGGGGGCCACGGTTCCACACACCCATCACCCAGATCCTGGAATCCCACCCTACAAGTCCACAGTGGCACCACATGTGGACACTGGGTGCTTCCTGCCTCTCTGTACCTCTGGGCCGCGCAGGCTGAGTTCTAACAAGTACGTCTGGGATTCGTTTTGGGCTGGAGGATGAGTGAAGTACATACTAGCTTGGAAACTACCTTCAGTGAGCTCCGCCTGAGACTGCGCCGACTTTAAAACTTTATAAACATCACCACTCAGAGACAATATTTTGGATGTGATTTCTCATCAGTACATTTCTCCTTCCATGAATCATGCCTGGGAAACCACCCACAGCACTTATCTGGTTGGGACTTTGTTTTTCAGCATTTATGTGTCCTGTTTCTAGAGGTTAAAGCTATTAAAATTTTTTTGTAATCCTACAGTTACAAATTAAATAATCCCATAAAAATGCTTTAAAAAGGTGACCTTTTCTGTTGTAAATTATTCTTCAAAAATGTGCAACTCTTCAAGAGCACATAAATAATTAAGAACCACAGGGGTCTACATGCCAGGACACCTGGTGTGGATTAAGCAGATCTCCACAGGGGTCTACACATCAGGACACCCGGTGTGAATTAAGTAGGTCTACACAGGGGTCTACACATCAGGACACCTGGTGTGAATTAAGTAGGTCTACACAGGGGTCTACACATCAGGACACCGGTGTGAATTAAGTAGGTCTACACAGCGGTCTACACGTCAGGACACCTGGTCTACACAGGGGTCTACACATCAGGACACCTGGTGTGAATTAAGTAGGTCTACACAGGGGTCTACACATCAGGACACCTGGTGTGAATTAAGTAGCTCTACATAGGGGTCTACATATCAGGACGTCAGGTGTGAATGAAGTAGGTCTACCACAGGGGTCTACACGTCAGGACATCAGGTGTGAATGAAGTAGGTCTACACAGCGGTCTACACATCAGGACACCCGGTGTGAATTAAGTAGGTCTACACAGCAGTCTACACGTCAGGACGCCTGGTGTGAATTAAGTAGGTCTACACAGCGGTCTACACGTCAGGACACCTGGTGTGAATTAAGTAGGTCTACACGTCAAGATGCCTGGTGTGAATTAAGTAGGTCAACACAGGGGTCTACACGTCAGGACGCCCAGGGTGAATTAAGTGCGTTTGCATGTAAGGACACACGTGTGAATTGTGGGCCGCCACACGCGTCCCCGTGTGCAGCTCGGTCACGTGTGTGCCTGTGTTTGGCTCATCCATTTTGAAGGACAATGAAGATAAACGGAGTCTGAACACAGGCACACGCGTTCCACATTATCTGGAAAGCACAGTTTACCCCGTGTTTAACGGCAGCAGCTAAATTTCCACCCTATTCTTAAGACCCGTTTCCAGGTCACTCTCGGAACGTGGGAAATGTGTGTGCACTTCCACGCTCCCGTCCATGGAGAGAAATATGCTCTGTTTAGACCGCGGCACTCTGCTCACGCTTCCTACGCTGTGCCTGGGCTGCACCTCCTGAACAAGCTCAAAGACCTCCCCGGGTCTACGTCTGGCCTGCGTTTGTTGGCTCCTTCTCCAGGGTGGCTGGTAGCGTTTCTACCTTACCAGTGCTGAGACTCTGGCCAGGGTGGCCCACGAGAAGCACATGGCCAGACGCCTCAGAAGTGGGAGCTGGGTGGCGTTTGGATTCTGGACTTCAGAACTATGCTGCCTCTGTGACACGGTCGTCCGAGAGTGGAGACACTGCGCTGTGAGCCCTGGCCAGGTGGAAAGCCTTCTGTGGGTGGTCACTGGGAGGGAGAGTGCGGCACCCTTGGTGAGGTCCTGATCCGAAGCCTTTGCTAGGGGTGGCTGGTGGCCGTGACAGCAGGGCCAAGAGCAGAGCTGGTCTTTGAAACCGAGAAGCACTAACACCCCCCCGGCAACTGCTTTTTAGACACATCATGGACACTCAGACCCGAGTTACCTTGGACGAGACGATCCTGTTGTCTGGGTATCTCTGTGGGATGTAGGCCTCTGCGCCCGGAGGTGGCTCCCTGTGTCCCACGTAGATGGTCCTGCTGTCCACCCAATTCTCTTCTCCTGCACACTGCGGAAAGGAGAGCAGTGTTAGGCAGCTGCCTCAGAACCCGCATCAGAGGCTCTTGCCCAGAATGTTGCCCTGAGGCATGTTCGTTGGAATGGAGACTTGTACCTGCTGCTGACAGCATTGTTCAGGGCTGCGGGGAGACCTGGGCCCCAGCACCCGGGACGGAGCCACCCTGTCTTACGCAGCCCTCCTGGGCCAAGGTCTTCTGGTGAGCACCAGGAAGGTCTGTGCTCCTGTGAGAGCCACACAGTGAACTCCAAAGCTGACTGCCAGTGGCAAGAGCTCAGGGCGTGCACATAAGAACAGAATGCATGGCTTCCAAAACAGAAGAGACAGTGATGCTGGGAAAGGTCTTTAATGGCAGAAGAAAGAAAAACTAGGATATTGGGGTAGAAGGCAGGACTCGACTCCAGGGGTGGGGCTTGGACACCGGACCAGATTGAGGACTAGCGAAAACAGGGCTGGGGCAGAGGCAGCTTTCCATCAGACATGCCCGCAGTGTGCCTGTCGGTTTAGCATTGCCATGGCAACAGCCAGGAGCCGCCGCCCCGTTCCATGGCAATGACCTGATTGCCCGGAAGTCACATCCTTCTAGAAATTTCTGCATAAACCACCCCTTAATCTGCATGCAATTAAACCTGCCCTGAGCTACTCCTCTCTGCCTATGGGGCAGTGCCACTCTGCAAGGGCGGTCAGGGAGCTGTAGCCCTGCCTCTTCAATAAAGCTGTTTTCTTCCCCCTCCTGCTCCTGCTTGCCCCTGAATTCTTTCCTGGGCAAAGCTAAGAACCCTCCAGGTTCTTGCCCCACTGTGGGGTCATTGGCCCTGCATCTGCACATGTAGAAGAGTCACTCAACCCTTCCGGATGTCTGCTCAGGAACAGGAACGCTCTCCTGCAAAGATGACTTGGGCCTGACCATCTGTATTACTCAGAACACTGTATTCGGAGGAGTCAAGGAAACAGCTCTGACAAGAAATATTTCAACAACACTCAGGCGGGCCATTTGATGTCAGCACGAAAACCACAAAAATACCTTAGCTCGTAATGAGAAATCCAAATGCCACATCTGAATACGCAGCCCTGGCCATGGCCCCAGCCCACCTCAGAATGTACGGCCCCAGCACATGGCCCCGGGCCCACCTCGGAACACATGGTCCTGGTACACGGTCCTGGGCCCGCCTCAGAATACGTGGCCTTAGCATGTGGCTCTCGTCCCATGACCCACTTCTCTGAAGGAACTGCAAGACACTAGCCTTTCTGGGGCATGAGAAACAGCTGAAGAGGAGACGGAAGCCTCCTCCGTGAAGGGAACGCAGGTGCGATGGGGCGGGAAGGACGAGTGGGCACTGCCGTCGAAGGGCTGACCGTTGGCTGCTGGGCCACTCCTCGCCGCAGGCACAGGGACAGTTTCCCACTGGGCTTCTCACCCATGAGGGGGATGTCAGCACTTTCTCAGGGTCCTGGAGCATGAAATGAGGCAACAGGAACAAACATGGCCAGGGGTCCAGCCAGCAGACAGATGCCTGTGAACGCTCGGGGGTGACCCTCTCTGTGTGGGCTGCCCTTGGTGCTTCAGGGATCTTGTTTTTTTAAAGCCAAAGAGGCAGGCAAGGCTGAACAGTCTCGAGTCCCTGTCTTGCGTGGTGCTCTTGTTTATACCTCATGCTGGCTGTTTTTGGTCTTGTTTATGTCAATCAGCTCCCTGCTCCTCTAAACGTCCTTTCCAGAGGAAGGCCTTTCCCAACCCTGTCCCACCCCAGAACACGTTCCGCCGCATGAGCTGTGTGAATTCTGCACATTTGCTGTAATAAAGTCCATCGGCCAGGTAATTACGTTCCAATTTTCTTTTATAAGACTGACAGCCTTAGAGAACAGTCTAAGAATAATAAGGAAGAGATCACACCAGTCCGCGATGCCCAGCCACTGGTTTTCAGAGATGTACGGCTGAGACTATGATACAGCTGTTCCACGGGAGCCGAGGCTTCAAACGCTCCTGGGGAACAGATTACACAAAGGCACGCAAGAGGCCAGTGGAGGAGCACACCACCTCAAATGACCAGAGGCAGTTTTCTCAGCGCGACCTTGGTTGGGCTCGCCACGCGAGCCTGCTGGCCATGCAGTAACTTGTCATCCTAGACATTTTCCAAAGCCAGGTGGGCAGTGCAGCCACTGCCCTGACCATGCCACAGTCTGGCTGCCCCTCCCCACAAGGACAGGCCCTCCTCCTTGGGACTGGTCTCCCCTGCCCTGACCCGGAGGGCTTCCCAGCTGCCTCTTATTTTGTGGTCGGAAGTCAACAAACCTAAGAGAATGCAGGGATGGGACTTTAAAAGCATCTTCAAGAGCTCTCATACAAATAAACTCGCTCGCCTATTACAAAGGCGAAGAACAAAGCCCCTGGCTTCCTTTGTTTTCTCAGGAACACAGTGGCCAAACCGGATGCTTCCTCAAGTTCTCGTGGAATCAGGATGCCTGAATACAGAATATAACGTGAACAGAAAAAAGAGAGAAAAGCATACAGGTACCTCTTTTTAATACAAAAAGTGAAAGATCGTAACGAAACTTCTTCCTAAGCTTCACAGAAAGCAACTGAATTGATCGCCGAGTGGCCACGAGCCCAGACACTAGCTCTGAAAGCGGAACACTTCCACAAACTCTCACATGGGCATCGCCCACCACGGCGAGTCAGCTGCCCTGAACCTTCCAGCCAGCTACAAAGGGGACCTGTCTCCCTGGAGGCAACGATTGGACGAATGGATGGAAGTCCATCCATATTTCTCCAAACAGCGTGCGACAGACGTTATCGTTAAATATATTAAC